ATATGTGAGGCAGCGTGGTGGAATCAGGCTCTCGTCAAAATAATGAAAGAGAAGAAACTTGCACTTTTACGCAGGTTTATGAATTTTAATGAGATTTTTGTTTTATGGTTCAACACCTTTCATGCCCATTAAAGAACTCCTTTATGTGTGGATTTTTCTGAAACACTTTGATCAAAGGCACAAAAAATGTAAATTTTCAGTAACCATGGACTCTTAAGCTAAGGAAATAAATGTAACTAATCTTCGGCGGCCATTTTCTCACTAATTTTACCCCTGAAAACAGGTAACCCCCACCTCCTTCATTCGCAAATATCTCGACTTGCATTCAAGATAAATGAATACTTTTTTCATCCAAATAAAGACAAGTGAACACGCTTTAAGATGATACCAATAACTCTATATGCACAAAAATTGACGAGAGCCTGATTCCACCACGCTGCCTCACATATAAGGTTGAAGTCAAACATGGATGACCACCCCCCACCTCCCCATCCACCCATTGTACCACTGTACCCACTTGTATTTAGGACTGTGGTTGAAGTCAAACATGGACGGCCTCCCCTCCCCAATCTCCCCATTCTGCTTCATTTCTGCATCATAATGACATTGTTCATGACGTCCAGTTGTCTAAGACAACCAATTTTTTCCTCGATAATAGAAGATAATAGGTGACCGTCCGCCTTGCACACTTTTGCCTCCACATAACATGGGCAACGCCAACGCTCTTAAACCAAACTTTTGCACAATAAAATTGTGTGTGGTGACGATTCTATTATCAAATGACAACCTCTGCGACAACAAACTGAGTGGGCGGTTAGTGGGTTCTTTGGTATGATTTGCTTCTTCTTTCGTATCAAACCTCTATTGTCTTTATCAATTTGTGTAGAAGATGACGCAAGACTCTCATTAAAACTAAATTTAACAACTACTGGTGTCAAAGTTGTGTAGGTTTTTTTTTTAAATTGCTGTACCGTTCACTGAAAAACAAGAAACGAATTTGACATTGACAACGACATTGAGGTATCGTCTCCAGATATAGATAGATCTAGATTCTATTTAATTAATCTTCGTGTACACATGCGCTCAAACTGGGGCAGCAAACCCAAACGTCATCAACCCCCACCCCTTCTCTCTCTTTCTCCCAATACCCCCCTCCCGCCCCACACACACACACACACACATGCGCACACACACACACACACACACACACACACACACACACACACACATGCTATGGCTCACCTACTCAATCACATTTTAATGTTACATTCAATAAACACTGACAATTGAATTCATTATATGACTGGGCGTGGACCAGCCTGATTTTCCTCCAGGGATAGAGCAAAAACCCCAATATTGCACAGTAAGACTGAATTAAAGTAAATTCGACTGTGACCTTCAAAATCAAATACGTTTGCTTCTCAAGGTCGCGAGTCGAATTGTTTTGCCCAAATGGTAGCTATTGCCCTTCCATGAAGGGAAATCTAGCTGGCCCCGACTCAATCGATCGAATCCGATTCATATTATGAGTGTGTGCCTGGCATTACGTGACCTAGCAAAATTTGTAGGGCATAGTACGCGAAGCACACTGCTTATAATATATACTCCAGACCAGACCTGCCTTCTGAGATAGGACGAATTAACTCGGACTGTGGAAAGGTAGGCCTACCTCTATCGAAACGACTTTGTTACAGCTAGTCAGTTAATCTTTGAGAATGTTTTAGGTTGGGAGGTAACGGTATGTCTGACTTACAGTTTTATCATAAGAGTGAACCGTCGTCAATGTGTCCGTGATGTATGCCTTTGGAAGATGAGAAGAGTGGAGTTATTGAGATTGCATACTGCCCCTCCGACAACACTTAAACGCGAGCTATTTTTGGGCTCATAAAGAAAGAAACACAGCTTCCTAATTCGTACGTAATGTTCAATTTGTTTGTTTGTTTTAGTTGTTTTAAAAAAAAACTTAAAACGATAGACAACAACATGCATGCTATGGAACGTACATTGTGTTTGATAATTTGAAATATGTCTCAACATTGCCTTTGGTCTGTGCTGGTCGGACAAATGTGTCCTGAAAGCGTTGAAGAGAAAAACTGAAATTACTGATAAGATCTAAGGACATGGTATGTTTGGACATAATTATTTTATACAGGGAACGGCAGCGATTTCTGTCTTCAGTCTACTGTTTGCTTTGATCCTATGTGGGTGACGGAGGTCGCATAGACGAACAAACAAACATACAAGCAAACAAACAGACGAACACTTGGACCGTGTGTTAGGGTGTTAGTGTTAGGGCTTTAGCTTTATGTATCTCTCTGCTAAGGATCATCGTTTCAAATCTCCTCTACTCCTCTCGGCTCTCTTCTTTCCTCAGTGTGTCCCGCAGCTCCATGGCTGTCCATTCTCATTGTTTGTTTTTTTGTTTTTGTAAAGCGTTTTACGGCGCTCGCAACTGCATAGATCATATGAGCGCGCGGGACACTCCTAATGTTTTCAGGTGGTAGGACATTTTGAATTATGCCCGTGTGGCGGCCGAAGCCTACTCTTATCGATTTTATACCACCAAGGGATCTTTAACGTGCGCAACTTGCACACGGGCCCTCCGAGATTTTCGCCCTTGTCCGAGAAGGCTAGGTGTAGATCTTTCCTACCAGAAGATCAGGGGTGTGGCAGAAAGACAGCAGTAAGGAGGAGCCAAGGAGTAGCAGTAGAAAGGCTGCAGAAAGAGTCAGGAGCCCAGAGGAGGGGGCAAAGGAGGTGAGGGGGTGGGGGCAGAAAGTGGAAATGAAAGCAGACAACAGAACATTGCTAGAGAGCAGGAAAGGAGATGAAAGGAGACAATTTTAGAGAAGACAATTTTTCGGTCGCTACCCGGATTCGAACCCGGGACCTTTGAATGAGAGGCCAACACCTTAACCACTAGGCCACGCGAGCCCCCGTCCATTCTCAGATGCACCTGATCTATACTATACACTATACACAGCACACATGCCACTCATCCCTATTTAATCGAGTTCTCCCGATTTTTTTGCCTCCAAATCTAAAGCATTCCGAGTTAGCCGATTTCGGTCTCGTGTCTACTGCAATGGTTTGCGGTTTTTAGACTTCAAGGAGTGACAGGTCAGTACACAAGTTTATTATGCCTCCTCCCCATCCAAACCATACAGCAATTGTGCTCAAGGATGACAGATCAGAACTCCACCTTAGAAAGCGTCTTTCACATTGCCAAGATAATCACGGGTATACACGCGAGCATTACAAAAACCCAACACATCGAATTGGTGTATAGTTGCGTCCGACATAATTTGCTGTGTGCATCGTAAAGACCAGTGTGGTTGCTTAGAATATAACACGGGTTCGCACATAAAAGAAGTGCAAATCCTATACAACGTTCTGCAGAAATAACCACAGCGACGTCATGATTTTAAAAAGTGTCATGAATTAATGTACTCCTCATTTTCAGAGTGGTGCTTTTATCTTCAGAGACTGAGTGGTTGGCGGGTGCTCTGACATGGTTTGCTCTTTCTTTCCTATCAAACATTTATCGTTCTTATATAGCCTCCTTCTTTTCTGTGTGTTACTCTCAAGAAGTAACACCTCTAATTTTCGGCACTCATGTGACCTATTTGTGTTGCAAGTGCAGCATCTAATTTTCACCTAAATTTTGAACAAAAGGAAAGGTTTCCTAAAGTTCCCACGGACTGAGCTTGGCTGCATCGGAGTCTGGCTTCTGCAAAACCTTTTGCTGTTTTGTGACAATCGTAGAAGTAGAGGGATTTATTGGATTCTTTTGTTTTTCACATTCCTTATCCCATCACACCTTTTGCTTTTTTTAGTAAGAGTTTTGAAAACACTTGCAACACATTTGAGCCAAATGAATGCCGAAGATTAGAGATTTTATTTGAGAGTAACATTCCAGGTAAAACGAACAGGAGAAGGAAAAGATAATAATAATAAGGAAGATACATGTTTGAAAGAAGTGAAGGAGCAAGCTACACCATAGCACCCATCGACCACCAACTCAACTCCACACTCTCACTAAAATAAAGACGGCTAATTTCAGTTCCAAACCATGGCGGACTCAAAGCTGAAGTTCACTTACTTCAATGTAAAGGGCCGGGGAGAGCTGTCCAGACTGGTGCTGGCGGCAGCCGGGAAGGAATATGAGGATTGCCGGTTCGCAATCGGAGATTGGCCCAAGTACAAAGACGGTGAGTCAAAGACGTTATTTTTAGTACTAGAGTTCGAAGCATTCATGTCCCCACGTAAACGAATGGGGGCTGTGTGTACCCACTCTGGGACGCTGAACCTCGAGGGCAAGACATGAACAGTTCAACAGAAGGATGAGTGCTTTTCGAGACTCCCGTGGAAGCGTCCCAGAGGTCTATGGAGGAAATCTACAAGCTTGCAATGAAATTGGTGTTGAACATACTAGAGCTCGTGGGGAGCGGGGTGGGAGCTCTGATTGTTCATGTAAATCGGGGGCACGCGGCGATGCCGATGAGGGTAAGAAGGCCCCTCATGTCTGACATGCGTGACTTCACAGCTGCGAGCTCTAGTATTAAATAAATCTATAAATTTTCTGAGGTGAGTCGACTTCTTGGTTTTTCAAAAAAGAAATAGTATGTCCATAAATGCACATGCATATCATTACTGATTGCGCTATAATAGTATGGATGTGGGGGCTCAGGTGGCTAAGTAAGTAGTGAGTTTAGACTCAAGAGCAAAGTCAAACCAGTGTCGGTGACACGGGGATCGGAAGGGTGGCCACGGGGCTGTGTCCTTCAGCAAGACATGACAACCCTTGCTCAACAAGCAGAGCGCTGCTGACAGTGGCGATCAGCAATGGCAAGGTTGAGATGTTGTTCTGCACTTGTGTAATATTGTGTATTTATGTATGTGCATGTACAGGGTGATCCCAAAAAAACCTGTACAACTTTTTCCTAAATATCTCGCGCCATGTTTTATACTAGAATGTTGTAATTTGGAACAGACATAGTTCACTCAAAAGGAACTTCATCATCATCAGCGTTGTCTTTCTCACCCTGCTCCAGGGTAAAGGCCACGGACAAACACTTTCCACCTTTCTATATCCACGGCCAGATCTTGATGTTATTCCATTTTCCCACTTTTCTGTACCTCAATTTCTGTGATTCTTCACAAGGTTCCAATAGGTCTTTCCTTTGATCTCCTACCCTGTGGATTCCAATCCAAAACTTTCTTTGTTATGCAGCTGCTTGACTTCTTGGGAGTATGTCCACTCCATCGCCACCGCCTTTTTCCTATCTCATCTCTGACTGGGATCTGTCTTAACACTTCCTTGTTGGTTACCCTGTCGGTCCATCTGATTCTCAGTAACTTTCGTAAACACTTCTTCAAGAAAACCTGGATCCTCTTTATACAAGTCTGTGATGTGTTCCATGTCTCACATCCACACAACAGGACTGACTTCACATTTGAATTGAAAATCCTCGGCTTTGTTCGAAGTGAGATATCTCTGGTCTTCCAAATCCCACCCAAAGATATGAACGCAGTCTGTGCTTTTCCAATGCGGGACTTTATTTCAGCACCTGTTCCCTCCCTCTCTGTCAATTATACTCCCAAGATAGCTGAAGGATTCAACGTTTTCTTGTGCATTTCCTTCTATTGTGACCTGCTCCTTTCGTTGTGCATCTGTCCTTAGGACATTTGACTTTCCGGGGTTGATCCTCAATCTTACAGACTCCGATAGGCTGTTTAATACTGAGGTCTTTACTTGCATCTGTTCTTGGGTGTGCGACAGAAGCGCCAAGTCGTCCGCAAAATCCAGATCATCCTCTGTGTTCACGGGGTCCACTGAATACCATTTCTGTGTCATCTGGTGGTTTCCTTGATCAGCCAATCAACTGCCAATATGAAGAGGAAATATGATAGTAAACATCCCTGTCTCACACCAGTCTTGATGTCAAAGCTGTCAGAGAGCTGGCCATCATGTATAACCCTGCAACTTGTCCCTTCGTATATGTTCTTGATGAGGTTCACCAACTTCTGCGGGATTCTGTGGTATCTCATTATCTTTCCAAGTGTTGCTCGGTCTATACTGTCAAATGCTTTCTCATAGTCAAGGAATTTGACGATCAGCTGTGAATTCCACTCCACCGACTGTTCCACGATAATCCTCAGCGTGGCAATCTGGTCGGTGGTTGAGTGATTTTTTCCGGAAACCAGCCTGTTCATCCCATAGTCTTGAGTCCGTTGCTGTCTTGATTTTCTTCAGAATGATTCTATTGAAGACGTTACCTGGTATTAAGAGAACAGTGATCCCACTGTAGTTTCTGTAGTTGCTGAGATCACCCCTTTTTGGAAGCTTCATGAGGTGTCCTTCCTTCCAATCCTTTGGGAACTTGCTCTCATTCCAGATCCTGGCAAACAATGGGAGGAGGAGGTCTACTGTCACATTGGCATCTGCTTTCAGGGCTTCAGGTGGAATCTGATCATGACCTGCCGCTTTACCTTTGTTCAGCTTCTTAATGGCATCCAGAATCTCTTGTTTTGAAGGGGCATCACAGCAGATTGGTAATTCATTTCTTGCTGGCAGGATGTTTGGCGGGTTAATCAGAGGTGGTCTGTTCAGGAGACTGTTGAAATGCTCTACCCATCGTTTTGACTGAGCTTCCTTTCCAAAAATGGTTTTTCCCTCTTGGTCCTTTACTAATACTTCAGGTTTCTTGTATTTTCCAGCAAGATTCGCATGTGCCCTCCTACCGTTGCTTCCCCTGCCTTCTCTGCCAGCCTGTTCCTGAATTCCTCCTTGTTTTTGCTTAGTGATTTCTTGACATCCTTAGCTCTTGTTCTGTACTGCTCCAATACATCTGCTCTTGATCCTCTTGTTCTACTTGCATTCGCTTCTGCTTTCAGTTTCATTTGGTCTTCTTATCCTGATTAAATCCAATGAGTGTTGGCTAATCCATTCCTTGTGCTCCCCTTTCTTCGCACCGAGTACTTCTTGACATGCTGATGTAAAGACTTCTTTGACCTTGGTCTAGTGTGTATTCACCTCCATGTCCTCTCCACCAAGATCAGCCAGAGGTTGAAATCTGTTCTTCAGCTGCAGTTGAAACTCCTCTTTCTTGTGTCCATCTAAGAGAGTTACTTGGAACCTAGTTCTTTTGATTCCTGTGCTGGTTCCGTGCTTTTTTAGTTTTGCCAACAGCAGATGATGATCCGATCCAACATCTGTCCCTCTCTGTACTTTGACATCTTCCAATGAACGCCTAACCTACGAGAGATACAAAAATGATCTATCTGGTTTTTCGTCACTCCATCTGGCGAAACCTATGTAGCCTTGTGAATCCTCTTGTGAGGAAAAACAGAGCCTCCAATGACAAAACTGTTGAAAGCACAAATATTTGCGAATCGCTCACCGTTCTCATTCATTTGTCACAAGCCATGTTGTCCTATAATTCTGTCATACCCTACTTTGTCCTGACCAATTTTAACATTGGCATCTCCCATTACGATGTTGACATTCTTCCTTGGTAGTTTGTCGATGACCCCCTGGAGCTGTCTGTAAAAGGCATCCTTGTCTTCATCCGAAGCATAATTAAATTGTTGGGGCGTAGATCTGAACTATATTCATTTTGATGCCCTTGTTCCTTGTAGTGAATGAAGCCATGATGATCATCTCCCCGTGTGGTTCCCATCCTCTAAGTGATTTCTGTGCATACTTACTCAAAATGGTTCCCACTCCTTCCGCACGGTTCTTGTCTTCCCTCCCAGAATACAAACAATATGTGTTCCCTCGAGCTGAGCTGCTTCTGTCCAGACTGTATCCAGTGTGTTTTGTTGACTCCTAGTATGTGCAGCCTGTATCTCTTCATCTCTTGTACTACTTGAGAACTCGTCCCTGCTTCATACAAGGTGCGATTATTTCACGACGTAATCCAGAGAGACTTGTTCGACAGAGAAGGTTTCAGGTCAGGAGAGTCCTTTCGGCTTTGTCCGCTGTCCTTCATTGTTCCTGCTGATACAGAAGCTCCACTGTCTCCCAAGATCGAAAACTAAAAAGCCGTCCTTGTCCCTGTAACTGACGGTTTTTACTGGGTCGGGTAGTTGGCTCTCCGCAAACTGGCACTTTTCGGGCGACCAGACAAAGGCACCTTTAGTCACCTCTTACGACGTGTAGTATTACGGCAGGTGTATTCTTTGCTTCCCCCATAATAAAACTATGCCCCCCCTACCCGCAGAGGCGAAAAAAAAAAATTGTTAGACACAGAATTTACAAAGAAGAAACATATCTTCAAAAACGGAAATGGCTTTTATAAAAACACATATAAATGCAAAATGCACCAATTTAAAAGAACTTGTAAGGAAAGTCATGAAATGATTGGGTTTTTTTTTCTTTCCTTATATTTAAAATAATTTTCTTTCTATCCCTGTAACCTTTAAAAAACATAAATCTATCTTTTTCTCCTGCCGAGTTTAAAAGATATTATTTTAAATTCTGAAATTCCGAGAACAAACTAATGGTGTAACTGTCCTGCTTTGGACTGGACACATTTTAACGCGTCGTTCGTAATGTTCAGTGGTGGCCAAACACAAGGATCCACTCAATCATGAGTACTCAAGGTCACATGCACTGTACATCTTACAGTATGGAGCTGTTTCTAGATACCATAAGGGGGGATGGTGAGGTTGCCCAATTAGCCAAGATTTGTGGAACTGTTATAACCTGAATGGTGAATATGGGCTTCGCCAAGGAATCAAATGTCATAGAGGAAATGTTCTAGCTTTTCAAGACAATAAAGGAAACATGAATACATTGCAATCTTCTGATAGCTTCCCGAACAGGAAAATGGTACAGTCATAGATGAAGATCTGCGTTGGGAATGCGGACCGTTGAGATGTCGGAAAGCCATCGTCTCATGGGGCTCATCTACTGAATTCTGCACCCTGGTGACATTTAAAGGGGTGCGAACGGTCTATATTTGACCTAAAGTGGCCGTTTTGTCTGGGCATCTTTAGTTCTGATTCTCTACAGGTCCTAACTGATGGACCATTTTCACCCTTGACATTAAAGAAGGCCTTAAGAATTGGTGGTGAGGAAATGTTCAATACAAAAAGCTCTCTGTTCTTTACTAATCTTAATCATGATCCAAGCAGGCAAAGGAAACTTGAAAAAAACCCACCTAGATTCTATCAGCAAACTTCTGTTGGCCCGTAAGACTACTGTAGTTTGCAATATGGCGAAATCCTTGGGATTTATAGTGGTAAGCCTAGTGCGTCATGCTACAGAAATGGGGACATAGCTGAAAATGGGTTGTTTTTTACGCGCTATGTAGAGCAAAACTATTTTGTGGATTTATCTCAAATGAATATCAGACAAATTCCTCTTGACTTTTAAATGCTGTGTAGACGGAGTTTCCCAAGATTAGTTCAAAACGAAACTAATGAAAGCTGAAAATTAAACTACAGTGACTTCAGGCTGGTCAATAAAACTGTGCACCACTTAAATGTTTCTGAACCACCATTAATTTTGTCAAATTCGAAAGTTAAGTGATTCGGAATTTTTAGGCGGCCAAAGTGACGGACTTTCACAAATATAATATGTATATGAGAAGAGATAAGAGATAGAGATAGAGATGAACGTTTGTTTGTTTGCCGCTGTAAACCAAATTGCCCATTTGGGATAAATAAAAATGTAATTTTTTAATTTTTCAAACATATATTTTAATGTGCTAGCGTTAATCCAAAGAAAGTAGATCTATGTGTGCATGTTCATTCACTTGTGTGTTTTGTTGAGATTAAGGACTGGCGTCAATGATGTTAGGCACCTAGCTATCGCAAACAGGAGACCCGAATTTGTATCACAATTAGGGAAAATTCTTATCTAATATTTCGGTCTTTCTGCTGCAATGCTATTTCCTTCTCAGTCCGGTTGGCCTTGACAGGCAAGGTCGGATGCCCACCTCCTAAAAGATCTAAATTATGACGATGACGGCATAAAAAAGTTCTCTAAAATGAATAGATAAAGCGCCAGGATTGTACGTTTATACGAGGTCATTGTTGAGGTGTATATTAAAAGGTCTCGTTGGCATGTCAGAACTTTATTAACAATATTTATTGTAAGTGTCCAGGCAATAAAATTCTGATCGATAAATTAATAAACTACCGGATTTACTCCACTCAGCTTCGAACAGGTGCTTTGTAGCTGGTATGGACAGAACATGTGAATGATAGCGGTCTGTGCATAACAGAATGCAACTCTATAATAATTACACATATATTGTAACACGGGGTGCCCATTATGGCTGGAATCGGGCCGATCGCCCGACTCGATTAACTAAAAAACAAACGTGTTTGTTTTCAGGCGATCGAGTCGGGCGATTGGCCAGATCCCATCCGTAGTGGGCACCCCGTATCATATTGTATCCGAAAAGAGATCAATTGGTGAATTTGAAAGAGTGGTCCGACCGAGAAAGTCAATGTAAAAAGAACAACCCTCAAACAAACAACGATATATATAGAGCCGGTCTTCATTCTTTGCGTTTATTTGAGAAAGGTATAGAAGCCAGGTGATCTGCTGTTGCGTGCAGGAGACCAGTATTCAATTTCCGATATCTAATTTTATCGAGCATCTCGGTCCCATTACTGGAATATTGTTACTGGATCTCTCTCAGCAAGGGTTGGCCGACGATGCGCGACATAAATGGGCCATTCCATGAAAAGTGACACTCGTCACGGGGAGATGGTGACCTACTGAAAAAAATTCAAAGCAGTGATATGATCATTCTCTACTCCTTTTTTGTTAGATGCAACCTTCCTCAAACACATTGGGTGGTCGGCGGGTAATCTGGTGTGAGTTATTCCTTCTTTCCTATCAAACATCTATCGTTATTATCTCTATCCTCCTTATTTGTGTTTGTTACACTCTTGTAACACCTCTAGTTTTGGACTCTCATATGACTTAATTGTGTCGTAAAACTCTTACTAAAACAAACATTAAACAAACATACACAGAAAATAAAGAATCGCTCATTCATAGCTTATATATTTTCTTTCAGCAGGTTACGTGTGTCACGTTTCATGATGTGGCCCAAACAAGCACTTCAATTATTTCACCACTCTAATTACTGTGTTTTTACCTTGCTTTTTTGTTTACTTTAGCAACCCCGTTCGGGCAAACTCCAACACTGGAGGTGGACGGCAAACTTTTCGCACAATCCACGGCTATTGCGACGTTCCTGGCTCGTGAGTTTGGTAAGTACGGGTAGCCGTCAGACGTTTTGTTGTCGCACGCAGAACGCAGGAGACCCGAGTTCAGTTCCTGAGTGAGGAGAATATTAAATCGAGTCTTTCGATCTTTCTACTGGAATCTTGTATATTATATCCCTCACAACACGGGTTGGGTCTCTGTAAAATTAACTTGGGGTTAATTGGGTTTAGTCTGGATATTAAATTGCAACGCATAGTATTTTAGGAGATATCTCCACTACATTCAGAGACCTGTCTTTTCTGGTAAATTCCTCTTCTCAATTTATTTGATAGTATTCAATACATGTCCTTTCCACCAATGTTTATGCACCTCAACAAAGGTGCGAACGCACTTTTTCGTTTCGTTGATTTCGCAAAGTTTTGCCAAGTCAAATTTTTTAAAGGTCATTTTTGAGTGACCAATCTCGGACAACTCTCAACATAGATGAAATATTATGTTTCATTTGATGCAGAATTTACTGACTTTAAAGTGGTATGCTGCATGAGTGGGTAGTGTAAAGCTTTAATTAACACGATGATTGGGTGACTACATTTTCCAGTTTCTCTGTGACGCCACTATATAAAAACTGATTTCACCCTTGTCACGGGTTTCTCCTGCAAGGTAGTCACATAGCGACCCTGTGAGCAAACGGTCGACTTCCAGCATATTCCTGTCCTGACACTATGTCAAAACTGTTACCACATTATACCAAATGCACACTGTCAATCGAATTCAGTTGATTAAGTCAAGGAAAACCAGATTATTTTCCATCGTGGCACAATTCCACGGATTCGGTTGTGACCTAAAAAAATAAACATTTTTTAAAGGTTGCTAGAGGCCAGACAAACGATGGGATCACAAAAAACGAAGTAAAATATGTTGAGTTGGACGTTCCATGAATTTTCATTTCAGGCAGGGATTTCAATTGCATTAGGCTGATTATTCAGTGGGAATTTACACCGCTTTTATTTTGCTAGTGCAACATCGATAATATCTCTGCCTGTCTCTGTCTCCCTTTCTCAGCCTCTTTCTGTCTCTGTCTCTCTGTCTGTCTTTCTCCCCCCCCCCCCTCTCTGTCTGTCTGCCTTCCTGTCTGTCTGTCTGTCTGTCTGTCTGTCTGTCTGTCTGTCTGTCTGTCTGTCTGTCTGTCTGCCCCCCCCCCCCTCTCTCTCTTTCTCTCTCACTATCTCTCAATACACACACGAATAGAAACACACACTTACACACTAACACACAGAAACACAGATCTATACACACACAAACAAACAAACACACACACACAGACGCACAGTTCCTCATCAAACCGTCTTTGCCTTCGACCATTCCCAACCCGTTATGCCGATGCTTCAGGTTTTCACGGGAAGACGAACTTGGAGTCGCTGGAGGTAGACCAATGGGTCAATCTGAATCAAGATTTTCTCTCTGAGGTTGGCAAAGGAATGTTGGAGAAAGACGCAGAGAAAAAGGTCAGTACTTAAAGTAAATTATGGTAGGATAGAATTTAACGTGTCGCCAAATGTGTGTGTGTTGTTTTTTAAATGTAGTGTCTAGGTGTTATATAATACGCCCTCATCGTCACATTTGAGATCATTTAGGGGGCGGACTTCTAACCCTGTTTATGAGGGCCAACCCGGCCTGAGAAGGGTAGATATACAACCAATCAGAAGAAAGACCCGGCTACTCGCTACACAGTTCTCCCTACTCGGAAATCGAACTCGGATGTCCAGTGTGCGACAGCGAAACGCCGTGCCACTTCACCACAGATGCCAGTTCACCAAAAGTACTCTTCCTGAATTCAGATGAACAAAGAATGGTCCTTTTTTTGGTAGCGGGTGGTTTGAAAACGAGAAATGGCATTGATCCGATTCGTTTTCAAAAGTGTATTGGAGATGGGATGTTCTAGAATTCTCGGTAAATATAAAGTATAACTATTCCCCGCTCCCTTTCCCCTATCACACACATACACATACACACACAATCACACACACAATCCACGCATACACACACAATCACACTCACAATCACCACACACATAAACACACACACACACACACACACACAATCCCCTCCCCTCCTTCACCCCCACCCCACACACGCACACTATCACATATATACACACTCACCACACACGCACTCACGCACATACACACAAACATGAACACACATACACACACACACACACACACACACACACACACACACACACACACACACACACACATAGACACACAAACACACACAATCATAATATTTTCACACATCATAACCATCACAGCCAGAACATCATGTTCCTGTGAAATTTAGCCAAGCATCAACCTCTCTGTGACCTCACGATGACCCCAGGTTGACCCCAACTGTGACCCTCACTGTTACCGATGGTGACTCCCGCGGCAACCTCAGTTCTGCGCAGGTCAAACGCAATTTATTAGAACCGTGTGCCGTGTGGTGTAGCCTACGTGTTTTGTTTTGATGTTTTTTTCTGTCTTGTTTTCGTTTTCTTTTTTGGTGTATTGTAAAACTCACGCATGCCATAACAGTAACTATCAACCTCATGAGCAGCAGCAACATCATCAGCATCAAATAGTCTACCAAATAAAAAAACTAACGTTATCATAACTCATAACTATTTTTTAAAAGTTATAGTGGCTAACATATCACTTGCACAGCATTAAACTAATAAGATGGCCTTAATCTACTAGGATTCGGCAAGGTGGAAAAGGGGGTTGGGGGGTGGGGGGTGGAGCTCTCACGTGAGCAGTTTCTTAGCCAAAGTGCGCTAAATAAATTAATTGTATTTATTAACATTATTATTTTTCTGTACACCTTACTTGAGCTCTAAACACTATGAATGAAATTCGGCGCAAATACCCATAGTAATTAGTATGCTGTGAAAGGCAAGTAAGATAGATATATAGATAGTAGGTAAAGAGAGAGAGAGAGAGAGAGAGAGAGAGAGAGAGAGAGAGAGGGAGAGAGAGAGAGAGGGAGAGAGAGAGGGTTGAAGTGAAGGGAGGGAGAGAGTGAAAGAGACAGAAAGATAGCGAGAGGTTGAGCGACACACACACACACACA